ACTTTCCTCTGGGTGGGGCAGATCTTAGGTGTGCAATCTGCTGATCAGTTGACTCTATTATAGCGTAATCAGGCAATTGATCCACAGCGAAGGTCAGCAGCACCAGTCACTAGTACGGATGCCAGGGATGTGTCATAACATAGAACACTTGTGGCAGGGTAGGAGAGGGAGGGCAGGAGTAGAAGCCAATCAGAGTACATGAGCCGGAAAGGGGGACTTTGACAGGAGAGAGCAGTGACCAGATGGGTGATTCGTTACTCTCCTCTGGGGCAGATCTTAGGTGTGCAATCTGCTGATCAGTCGTTTGATTAAAAGGAAAGGGGGACTTTGACAGGAGAGAGCAGTGACCAGATGGGTGATTCGTTACTCTCCTCTGGGTGGGGCAGATCTTAGGTGTGCAATCTGCTGATCAGTCGTTTGATTAAAAGGAAAGGGGGACTTTGACAGGAGAGGGTAGTGACCAGATGGGTGATTCGTTACTCTCCTCTGGGTGGGGCAGATCTTAGGTGTGCAATCTGCTGATCAGTCGTTTGATTAAAAGGAAAGGGGGACTTTGACAGGAGAGGGTAGTGACCAGATGGGTGATTCGTTACTCTCCTCTGGGTGGGGCAGATCTTAGGTGTGCAATCTGCTGATCAGTCGTTTGATTAAACTCTATTATAATCAGGCAGTTGAGCTAAGGTGTGCAGCATCAGTCGCCGACAGGGATGTGTTCTTTCATAGAACACTTGAGGCAGGGTGGGAGAGGAAGGGCAGGAGCAGAAGCCAATCAGAGCACATGAGACGAAAGGGGGACTTTGACAGGAGGAGAGAGCACAGTTATCCAGATGGATGACTCATTGCTCTCCGCTGGGTGGACGGAAGACCTTAGGTATGCAATCTGCTGATCAGTTGACTCTATTATAGTGTAATCAGGCAATTGATCCACAGCGAAGGTCTGCAGCACCAGTCACTAGTACAGATGCCAGGGATGTGTCTAACATAGAACACTTGTGGCAGGGTAGGAGAGGGAGGGCAGGAGTAGAAGCCAATCAGAGTACATGAGCCGGAAAGGGGGACTTTGACAGGAGAGAGCAGTGACCAGATGGGTGATTTGTTACTCTCCTCTGGGGCAGATCTTAGGTGTGCAATCTGCTGATCAGTCGTTTGATTAAAAGGAAAGGGGGACTTTGACAGGAGAGAGCAGCGACCAGATGGGTGATTCGTTACTCTCCTCTGGGTGGGGCAGATCTTAGGTGTGCAATCTGCTGATCAGTCGTTTGATTAAAAGGAAAGGGGGACTTTGACAGGAGAGAGCAGTGACCAGATGGGTGATTCGTTACTCTCCTCTGGGTGGGGCAGATCTTAGGTGTGCAATCTGCTGATCAGTCGTTTGATTAAACTCTATTACAATCAGGCAATTGAGCTAAGGTGTGCAGCATCAGTCGCCAACAGGGATGTGTTCTTTCATAGAACACTTGAGGCAGGGTGGGAGAGGAAGGGCAGGAGTAGAAGCCAATCAGAGCACATGAGGCAGAAAGGGGGACTTTGACAGGAGGAGAAGGCAGAGTGACCAGATGGATAACTTTCCGCTCCAGTCAGAGGCTGGGGGGTGTGGCCATGACCAGACCGTATGGCCTAAATGCAGTTAAAAAAACCCCGTGGGTCACCAGGCAATCTGGGGAATGCAGGACATATGATAACAAAGTATCTCTTTATGAAACAACTGCATTTGTTTTTCTTTTTTTTTTTTTTACCAGAAAGGATGTAAATAGCTACATAGAAAGAGTCAGGCCAGCAGGACTGCACAAATGACCTTGGAGGGCCAAACGTGGCCCCAGGGCCACCACTAGAGAATTCCTGTAAAAGTCTCATTGGTATCGCTGGCTCTTTGGCACCCTCCTGAGGGCCCCCCCCTCCTGTAAGGGCCCCCCACCCCCGTCCCTGGCATGGGGAATATAGAGTTAAGTGATGATCTCTGCGCAGAGCCTTCCCTGGTCTCCTTCATTTAGTATCTGGGGCAGTGACAGCTGTGTCCCTGATTGTCATTACATTCCTTCCAATTCAATAGCATCCAGATCTGTTCCTACAGGTGTCTCCAGCGCTGAGCGCCATCTCAGCTCATCACAGCCTGTCACAGCAAATCAGCCTGTCTGTGCAACAAACACAAAGCAAGCCTGATTGAAGGTGATGGGCTGAGCGCTGAGCGGATCTGTACTGCCCCCTACTGGTAGCAAGCAGAGACTGCAATCTAGTCAGTAAAACTCAAGGACGAAAAATGCAACCTACTGTAATATTCATTTATATAGCGCCAACCGTGTGCACAGCGCTTTACAAGATGAAGGCAGACGTTACAGGAATCAGAGAGCCCGGCTCGTTAGAGCTTACAATCTATATTGTCAAGTATTGATCGGCCGGCCTTTCCACACACATGACCTTTAATGGCTTCCCAGTCTCAGTCCGTAGGGTTCAATATTGAGTTGGCCCCGCCCTTTCCACGCACATGACCTGTAATGGCACCCCAGTCTTAGTCCGTAGGGTTCAATATTGAGTTGGCCCCGCCCTTTCCACGCACATGACCTGTAATGGCACCCCAGTCTTAGTCCGTAGGGTTCAATATTGAGTTGGCTCCGCCCTTTGCAGCTATAACAGCTTCAACTCTTCTGGGAAGGCCGTCCACAAGGTTTAGGAGGGTGTCTATGGGAAGGTTGGACCATTCTTCCAGAAGCACATTTGTCAGGTCAGGCACTGATGTCGGGGGAGGAGGCCTGGCTCACAGTCTCCGCTCTAATTCATCCCAAAGGTGCTCTATGGGGTTGAGGTTAGGACTCTGTGCAGGCCAGTCAAGTTCCTCCACCCCAAACTGGCTCCTCCATGTCTTTTTGGACCTTGCTTTGTGCACTGGTGTGCAGTCATGTTGGAACAGGAAGGGGCCATCCCCAAACTCTTCCCACAAAGTTGGGAGCATGAAATTGTCCAAAATGTCTTGGTATGCTGACGCCTTAAGAGTTCCCTTCCCTGGAACTAGGGGGCCAAGCCCAACCCCTGAAAAACAACCCCCCCACCATAATCCCCCCTCCGCCAAATCTTACACTTGGCACAATGCAGTCAGGCAAGTACCGTTCTCCTGGCAACCACCAAACCCAGACACGTCCATCGGATTGCCAGAAAAAGCATGATTGGTCACTTCAGAGAATACGTCTCCACTGTTCTAGAGTCCAGTGATGGCGTGCTTTACACCACGGCATCCAACGCTTTGCATTGCACTTGGTGATGGAAGGCTTGGATGCAGCTGCTCGGCCATGGAAACCCATTCCATGAAGCTCTCTACGCACTGTTGTTAGACTCATCTGAAGGCCACACCAAGTTTGGAGGTCTTTAGCTATTGACTCTGCAGACAGTTGGCGACTTCTGCGCACTGTGCGCTTCAGCATGCGCTGACCCCGCCCTGTCATGTGATGTGGCCTACCACTTGGTGGCTGTTGTTCCCAGTTGCTTCCACTTTGTTATAATCCCACTAACAGTTGAGCGTGGAATATTTAGTAGCCAGGAAATGTCACGGATGGACTTATTGCACAGGTGACCACCTATCACGGGACCACGCTTGGAGTCACTGAGCTCCTGAGAGCGACCCATTCTTTCACCAATGTTTGTAGAAGCAGCTTGCATGCCTAGGGGCTTGGTTGTGTACACCTGTGTCCATGGAGGGGATTGGAACACCTGAATCACATGATTTGGAGGGCGGGGCCAATACTTTTGGTAATAGAGTGTATTTGCTGTGGTGACGTTAATTTGCTGTATTGGATCTACAGAGAAGTAACTTTGTCTGTGACGATAGTAAGCTCTGATGAACCCTAAACTGTATGGAGAGAATAGGGGAGCAGTAATGAGCACCACAACACCCTAATTTTCTACAGAATTTGCAAATCAGTATAAATAAAGCCAGGAACTCGTATTCTCACCAAGAATTGACTCGGAAGGAAGAGAGGGAGGGGTGGAAGGAAGGCTGGACTCACGTGACTCCTCCAGAAGCATCAGAACTGTCGGCTGCTGTGTTCAGTTTCCCACCCACACCTCCTCTGAAGCTGCAGGGACTAGAGTGTGGGTGGGCACAGGGGGAGGCAGAGCAGATCCAGCCTCTCTCCCCTCTTCTCCTATTGGTGCGGAGGATGGAGGGAGGGGCTTGGCACTGAGAAGAACACAGCGGCGGTGGGAGGGAGAGAGGGTGGTAGAAAGAAAACTGAGCCATCAGGTATGTTCTTTGCAGCAGTGGGGGGCAGCAATCTCTTGTATGGCTTTCAATAAAGCAGCTGGAAGCCGCTTCTCCTCTCCCTCCCCGCGGCTTTCAGCTGCTTTATTGAAAGCCATATAGGAGATCGCTGCTTGTCACTGCCTCCACCGCCACACCTCCCACACACCCCTAGTCCCGGGCACTGCTTGCAGCCCCCACCTTATTTCCATTTTCGGGCGAGTGGTGATTTCGAGGGCTGCAGAAATGGTTGGCAACTCTCCTCTGTAGGGGTTCAGACCACTTTGACTTCTCCCCTTATCTACACCACTGGTGCAAGAGGCGGTGCGCATGCTGTGACGACTGCCCTGCTCAGTGGCGGATCTGTCATTGCGGGCTGGAGGTCTGGAAAGGGAGCGCTGGTGGGACCGTTCTCAGACTGCGGTCTGCCATTTAGTGACCGCTGCTAAATAAAAATAAATATAAATATATATATATATATATTTTATTATTATTTTTTATTTGAGGGTTCCATGTCATTTTCGAGCAATAAATGTAAACAAAAAGTGTCAGAAATGTCTGCGTCTTCACGTGGTTAATTAGTCTAGTGACCAAGAGGTTTATTCTAGTCCTTCTGACAGAAATAATTAATAAATGGAACTATGGCCCCCAGAGGTGATAACATGAAAACTTTATTAGAATTTTAAACACGCTCCAAAACAACATGGATCTTCAGACTGGGGTAAAGAAACACAGAAATCTATACATATATACAATATACATAACACACGGGTTATTTTGCTTGAGCACAGAGTGCGGCAAAGGATTTGCGCAGGTTGGCGAGCAATGCTGAGAAGTTCTTGGTCTCCCGGATTTTCTTCTCGTACTCTGCGATACACTCCAATGGCGGATCACAGCCTTCAACTGCCAAGAGAGAAGAGCCATGACAGCACACCATATTAATTATATTACCTTATTCAAAGTGTATAAAACCATCCACCCATACCAGCCACGCGGGAGGAACATTGGAGGAAAACGGGAGGAACATTGAAAGGGTTGCTCTGTGCAAGACATCCACTTTCACCCATGATGGACAAATAAAATATGGGCAGCATGGTTAGCACTTCCGCCTGGCAGTACTAGGGTCATTGGTTCGAATCCCAACCACGGCACCACCGGTCTGGAGTTTGCATGTTCTCCCTGTGCTGGGTTTCCTCTAGGTGCTCTGGTTTCCTCCAACATTCCAAAGACATGCTGGTAGGTTATTGGCTCCTGTCTAAATTGGCCCTAGTATGTGTATGTATGAATGTGAGTTAGGGGCCTTGGATTGTACGCCCCTTGAGGGTTAGGGACCTTGGATTGTACGCCCCTGGAGGGTTAGGGACCTTGGATTGTACGCCCCTGGAGGGTTAGGGACCTTGGATTGTACGCCCCTGGAGGGTTAGGGACCTTGGATTGTACGCCCCTGGAGGGTTGGGGACCTTGGATTGTACGCCCCTGGAGGGTTAGGGACCTTGGATTGTACGCCCCTGGAGGGTTAGGGACCTTGGATTGTACGCCCCTGGAGGGTTAGGGACCTTGGATTGTACGCCCCTGGAGGGTTAGGGACCTTGGATTATACGCCCCTGGAGGGTTAGGGACCTTGGATTGTACGCCCCTTGAGGGTTAGGGACCTTGGATTGTACTCCCCTTGAGGGTTAGGGACCTTGGATTGTACGCCCCTTGAGGGTTAGGGACCTTGGATTGTACGCCCCTTGAGGGTTAGGGACCTTGGATTGTACGCCCCTTGAGGGTTAGGGACCTTGGATTGTACGCCCCTTGAGGGTTAGGGACCTTGGATTGTACGCCCCTTGAGGGTTAGGGACCTTGGATTGTACGCCCCTTGAGGGTTAGGGACCTTGGATTGTACGCCCCTTGAGGGTTAGGGACCTTGGATTGTACGCCCCTTGAGGGTTAGGGACCTTGGATTGTACGCCCCTTGAGGGTTAGGGACCTTGGATTGTACGCCCCTTGAGGGTTAGGGACCTTGGATTGTACTCCCCTTGAGGGTTAGGGACCTTGGATTGTACACCCCTTGAGGGTTAGGGACCTTGGATTGTACACCCCTTGAGGGTTAGGGACCTTGGATTGTACACCCCTTGAGGGTTAGGGACCTTGGATTGTACGCCCCTTGAGGGTTAGGGACTGATGTGAATGTACGATATATATGTAAATTGATGGTGCTATACAAGTACAGTAATACCTCGGTTTAAGAATTTAATTCGTTCTGCAGGACTTTTATTATAGCAAAAAATTCTTAAACCGAAACGCTGTTTCCCATAGGAATGCATTGAAAACCAATTAATCTGTTCCGGAGATCAGAAAAAAAAGTAAACACTAATAAATACTGCATGAGTTATTTTATCAAGTCATGCAGCATTTTAGTAGTGACAACCATGTGTTAATATTTCACTGTCAGCAGGGTTCCCCACTGACAGCTGAATGTAAAAGAATTGCCGGCAATTAAACAAATTTAAAAAAAACTGTGTGGGGTCCCCCTTCCCATCCATACCAAGCCCTTCGTGTCTGGTATGGATTTTGAGGGGAACTCCCACGCCAAAATTTAAAACAAAATGGCGTGGGGGGGGGGGTCCTCCCCAAAATCCATACCAGACCCTTTTCAGAGCATGCAGCCTGGCAGGTCAGGAAGGGGGGGGGGGGGGTGCAAACAATGTTTCTTTTTAGTTTCTTAAAAGAAACAAAATTTTCGTTAACTTTGGGGAAAGTGACAGCTAATTCTGTGAGCTATAGTGAAGAAAAAAAAAAAAAAAAAAAAAAAGAGCCAGCAATTGCATTTAAAAATCAGCACTGACATACACTTCAGTATGGCGAAAAAAATTCATACAAAATTTGGAAACCGAGGCATTATTTTCAGTGGATTTTCATTTGTAAACCGCAAATTACTTTAACCGAGGCGTTCTTAAACTGAGGTATTGCTGTAGCTGAAATAAATAAAATAAATCCTGGCAGACCAATATCGCATTGTTCCTGGATGCTGACTGCTTATTCCAATAGCGCTCACAGCAATTTTCTCAAAAGTACCCCAACTGATGTGCAGCCCAGGAGCTGGGTAATGCCAGTTTCAACCAGAGGCTCTACAGAGTAGTGTTTCCCTTTATGACAAACATCCTATAAATAAAATGCCCATTTGTCTGAGTTTCTACATGCATTAACCGGTTTTATATTGTAGGCCTGTAATTCTTAGGAATAACTCACTTAAATCTGTCCAAACAAGTCTAGTAAACATGAAATCATAAATTATAATATAATAAATCGTTATAAAAAGAATATTATAATAATAATAAATTTCATTCAATAAATGTAATCAAACCAAAAACACTGAAATTTGAAATAGAGCGCCAAGTTTGCACATCGCTGAGTTCAGTCGCAGAATCGTTTTCAGTGTCTGATGAGGAATTTCCCCCACGAATCATTATCACTCAATTCTGCAAGTGGTTCTGATTTACTATCGCTGTTCTCTAGCCGGTCTAAAACCGCGTCTGACCTAAAGGGACACTTTTTGGACGCCATGGACGTTTCTCAGTTTCCAGGCAGAAAGAACAGTAAAAATGCAGGCAGGGCGCCGGACAAAGCACTCGGGACAAAATGTATGTGAAATGGTTTGATACAGGAATGGAATACTATCAGGTTACAATGTATTGTGTGTATGTCATGTTTTTACTTTTTTGAATCTTCCGCCGGTTCCGCCCCCCTGCGTCGCAAAGCTCGCAGGGAAGGGAACCCAGAAGACGGATGCCGGCATTGGCCGGAGGACACAGTGGGAGGACATCGGGGGATCGCAGGACAAGGTAAGGGTCGGGGGAAATCGCAGGACAAGGTAAGGGTCGGGGGAAATCGCAGGACAAGGTAAGGGTCGGGGGAAAATCGCAGGACAAGGTA